CCCGCTCTTCTTTTTCTGTGTGTTACTTTTCTATTTAGTTCATTTATTTACTGACAAATACAATTTTAAAAAACCTCTCTCTTCACTATTATGGCTGAAACAGGGTCAGCTGACAGTAGGCGTGTTTCCATTGCAGATTTGCGCAAAACTTTGGCGATATTTTAAAAAAAGTTATCAACTAAAACGTAATTTTTTCCTCTCGCGATAAGTCATGGCAATGGATTTTGATGGGATTTTGACGGATTTTGGCTACCCCAGCCATTATATTTAATCGAAGGAGGCGTATGCGTGAATCTTGACAGAAGCAGCATGGAGAGCAGCTTCTGGGACGTGCCGTGGCGCGACTGGTAACACAAGTGTTGACTAGAGTGGCCGCGATCAGCTCCGGTGGCCATGTTGGAGCCGTAACGCGCCGCAGACGTGTGCAGTGTAAATAGTCTAATCATTAATGGCAGGGAAAGCCCCTTATACTTGAGAGCAGCCACATATGAAGTGTTTCTTGGAGGTTGTAGTACATTGAAGAATGATCATAAGACTTTTTACATACGCCATGTGACCTGTAAATACGAAAAAAAAAAGAAAAGCGTGGTGTCAGAGTAAGAACAACATCCCCTATTTTGAGACCAGTGCCAAAGAAGCCATTAACGTGGAGCAGGCCTTCCAAACTATCGCTCGCAATGCACTTAAACAGGTACTGGAAGTTGTGTATACCTGTCTTCAGATCAATTTCAGAAATACGATTCAACAAAATCTAATTGTTCCATATATCTCACTTTCAGCAAGATCCTGTTTGATATCAGATGAAAAAAGACAATAATCAGTAATCTATCACCTTGTTAAAAAGATGAAAATTGTGTATTGAAACAATTTACTCCCCAAAGCTATGACTTTGTTCCATAGAACAAAAAAGGAGACGTTTAGCAGAATGTTCACGCTGCTCTTTTCAATACAAAAAGCTCCATACAAGTAGCTTGTACAACTTGTGCTACATTCCAAATCTTCTCCAATCAAAAATTAGTCAAAATCGTATATTGGCAATAGTATAAGTGACGTAAGAAGCACAGCTCACACAGAAGTCACTTTCAAACCAAGCAGCTTTCTTCTGGTTAATTCGATGAATCCATGTGACAAGTGTGAACCCGTTGCGAAATCTGCATGAGGAAATCATTCGCCCTCAAAGCAAAAATTCGCCAAACAGCGGTACGCTACTAAGTTTTTCACTATAATTATTGCCCTCTGCCATATTCTGATATGCTGTATGAAATGAATTTAACGTCCGTGATGTTGGACATTCTGAAATGCGAATGAGATTTTAATATTAGACTTAAATATTGCTGTTTTTGTCTCACAAAGCTATTTTATGACACCGGAAGAAATGGAATATAGTAACTTAATAATATGTAACTACTAGTAATATGTAAATCAGTCATATGAACTTTTTTTCTGGCACTTGTCGTTTCTTGGCTCTTTCAAGCTGCAGCTTTCATTGTATGGAGAAGTGTAGCATGAACATTCTACAAACTTTCTCCTTTTTTTGTTTTACGCAAGAAAAAAAAAAAGTAATTCAATTTTTGAATGGCATGGGTGTAGGGGTGTGCGATATTGACCAAAAATAATATCTCAATATTTTCTGGGATTTTATCGATAAAGATAATTAGACAATATTTTTCTGAGTGTGTTATTGTGCTGATATCTTAAGGACTACCGTGGACAGCTGGCTCCTAAAGTTTTTGTTATTCTTCATTATTCTGTGTGGTGATCAGTTCACAGCAGTGATATTAATCTTTTCCAATAAGTTTAAATTGATTTGCACCTTTTATGGGCATTTTTACCTTTATAAAGCCATTTTTTTCTAAAAGTGTGCATCATCTTTTGAGTCAAATTCTTACATTTAATCAGTCAATTATAATAATAATACATTTAGGCTGTTACTAAACAAATGAAATCAGTATCAATAAAATTCATCTTTGCAGAAGTGGCATTTAGATGTATTTACACAATGCAGCTCAGAGGGACAAGGAATGCTTTAACCTGCAGTTACAAATGCATAAATAATGTTTCGATATTTAAACATGAAATGTTGAATACTGATATTTGAAATTATTAAAAAAAATGAAAAGATACTTTAAATGTGAAATTAAAACCGCCAGTTGGTGGCAGCAAGTCACTGTTAATAAGTGAGTCATTGCGATTGAACCGAATCATTTAAACGGTTGATTCATTCAGGAACAAAACAACATCATGTTGCTCAGAGACGCAAAACAGTGCTGTGGCTGTGTTTGCAATGTTTTTTGTTGGCGAAATAGCGCAGAAATAGCACAAAAACAGCCAATATGGTGTTTAAAACATAAGTCTCTTGATATTAACTTATTGTTTATTGAACTGTTGTATAAAATCAATATCACATTTGTAACCATGCTGATTTTTGATAAAAAACGGAGCTATTCGTGTGATATTGATTAACTATATGAATTGATATAAATATATACATTTTCTGCCCCCTTGTCTTGAATTATGTGATCATTCTTAATGCATACTGTGTTGGTCTAACCAGACTTCATCACGTCGCGTATGCGTGCCTCTGTTTGTTTAGTTTTTGAAATATACTCGATAATGTGATGTCTCACGAGTTCAGTATTTGTGCTAAACCTGCGCAGATTTGGCTTGCATGAACTTCCCCCAAGAAATTAATGAGTGAACATAACTTACGAAAAGTAACCCGCCAAATTGGCTAGTCATTTGAGAGCGTTACCCGCCACAGCTGATTTTTACCCGCATTTGGCGGTTGTTAATTTCAAAACCTGATCATATGGCTTTTTACGAATGCCATGTGACCTGTTAATGCGGAAAAAACGTTTCCATTGCAGTTTTGCGAAATATTCCTTTTTCGAATTGCCTGAAAAACCACCTCATGCGAGTGTAAAAACTTTTTTGCGATATATGGGCATTTTTGCGAAATTGATGCATTTCCATTAGGCGTATTTTCAATTCGCAATTTAAATTTGCGCAATTTGAAGGGTAATGGAAATGCGCCTTTACACTTTAGCACAAGTAAGTTTTTAACATCCAGTGTTAATTAGCCACTTAAATACAAACGCAGCTTATGTTACTGTTTGCATGTTTTAAACAGGGATCCTTTCTCCCCACCAAGGGGTCTTTGAAGACCACTTGATGCTATGCTTAGAAGATTCTTTACCTGTACATACTTCTCCTTTATTGATTTCTGAGAGCCGTGGTAAATATACACCGCCCCTCTGTGGTCGTTCTCCAGAGGTGATCCGATCACTATGTCACTGAAGCCGTCCAGGTTGAGGTCAGGGACGGCAGCGATGGCGGTACCGAAGCGTGCGCCGCAGGGCTCGTTCTTACTGACGCTCTTACAGTTGCTCTGGGAGTGAGCCGTACAGCAGGTCTGATTCACTGGCTTCAGCATCATCTCGTGTTCAAACAGCCCGTCCTGAGGAGTAACAACCAGACACAAGACTGGAAATCTCAGTGTGGCCAGCCAGTCATTAGCTTCCGTCCAAAGTTATGCGGAAAATCCGAATAAACCATTTCCATCCCATGCGTTTTAAGAGAACAAAACTGTCACCTCCAACTGGCGCAAAGTAATAATAATAAAAATGAAAGTTGCTGCAACTGGGGAAGCCTCTGGTTCTTTTCTCCTATGTAATAAATGAGTTATGCCTCAGAGCTCAAACCAAGAAGCTTACTGTTGATCAATATGACAAATTTGTTCGACCAACTTCCGCACAGAGAACTTAATCACCTCTTGCGAAACTCCCAATTGACCCTTCGCAAAGACTCGCCCCTTTTAGTTACTGTTGCGATGTCTGACTAAACATGCCACTCTCACACTACTCAACACGTTCTCACGCAGTGGAAAATACATCGCGGAGCAAAGAGGAAACTGAAAACACGCAGAGCAGGTTACTTCTGGTATGAAACAGTCTCAGATTTCAAATTTTGTAATTTTGTAAGAAATTCAAACAATTGATGCTGTTTTGTGGCTCTTTAATGTGTCGTGACAGATCGCTATAGCCTCAGTTCAAGCGGCACGTGAACCGATCATCTCTTCCTCTTTACTAGTTATAGCACGAAATAAACATGAATGAACATCAGAGGGTATCTTGTTTCAACTGCATGAAGAAAGACGTCACTACACACTATCTTCAAGTTCGAGTCCACCGATGTTAATCTAATCTCCTGTCTGGTTTGTTTGTCGAACAAAACGGCAGATTTGGTGTTGTGATTGGTCAGATCACCTGTCAATCAAACTCCCTGCGAAGCTTTCTATTGAAATGACTGGATTTACACCATGTTACACCATGGGATTGGGTGAAAATTTACAAAACCCATAAAATGACAAAAACCCTAAAAAGACTTTTGCAACTTTTTTTGAGAAAAGATGAAACTGTTTTAAAAATGGATAAACCAATGGAGTTAAACAGGAAAGAAAAGACTTATCACAAATCATTATATGCAAATAAGCAAGAAAAAAAGACCAACTGATATGCAAATTTTACAATTGTTGGTTTGATTTCTTGAACATTCTTCTTGGGAAACACTGTAAGAAGGTCAAAGACTTTTAAGAGGTTTTAAGAGTTGAATTTATGTCTAGAGATTGTGATTTGATTTGAAAATCATGGAGAAAAAACATGAACAATATGTGCAATCAATACAGTTCTGCCTTGTAAATGCAAATGCTTCACGAAGAAACACTGACCAATGGATAAAACCTCAAAACCGATGGAAATCGCTCCATTTAAGCCACTATTTGGAAGCTGTTGAAAGCAGGTGCTCCACAGAGGCTGGTATTTTGCTGGAGATATTACAGTTTCATTAGATTTCCATTCCCATGATGCCAAGCTCCTACCCGTGCTCTCATTCCAACCCTTCCCCTGCTCTGGGAGCACTTATCTCAGGCTGAACACCAACACAACACACACTCACTCCCTGAGGACAGATCCAGATTTACTGCTCCCACATGCTCTCGGCGTGGAATGGAGGTACTACACTCCCCTACACGTGTTTTCAATATGTGGAATGAGGCATATCACACACAGATTAAAGACACATACACACCTCATTGAGTCTGTAGACGTAGACTTGACCTTGTTCGTCCCTCTCTGGACCCATATACATGGGAGCTCCTACCAGAAGGATGTCAGTGTAACTGTCACGGTCGATGTCATGCGTCTGGAGAACACTGCCGAAATAGGAGCCAATCTAAGAAGAACATGACACACTTCATAAATACCACTGAAAATGAAACTTCAATGGAAACATGCAGTAATGAAAATCTATTAAGAATAATGGTAATGAAAAAACATTCAAAAGTAAAAATTACAGTAATAACACTACAGTAGTGACGATTTGGGAAGGAAATATGCTTAATAGTCATGAAAATAAGTAAAACAAATTATATATATACACACACACACACACACATATATATATATATATATATATATATATATATAATATATATATATAAAATAATATAAATAATATAATAAAATAATAAATTAATATAATACAAAACAATATATATTTCTAAAGTACATTATTCATATTAAAATATATAATTTATGTATATACAAGAATTAATATAATTTATTTTCTTTTGAATTTGGTGTGGAATGTGATCTGAACATGAACAAATTTCATTTTATATATATTTACTTTAAAAATGTAATTCTTTAAATAGTTTCTTTTGATTTTTGGGGTGAAATATGATCTGTTTTTGCGAGATCCACCCGAAATTGTTTGAGGTTGTGGTTATGAAGCTACCTGCTCTCCTTTCAGCGTCTGTGTTATGGTGACATTTTCTCCGTCGAAGCGGTACACCGTGACCCGGCCGCTGTGGTTAAAGCGTGGTGCACCTGTGATGTACAGCACCCCATGGGGTGTGTGCGCCGACTGCACGTCATAACCTGCAAGCAAAACCACACTGCAACCTTTACCACCACACAACTAACCCAACCTCACAGTCATTTACAGCAGTCTGCACGCTTAATACGAAACAGCTGGGGCCCAAATCATAAACGGTTTCATTACAGCAGACACAGACATTGTTGGGAATAATGCTAGAATAAACCAGCTTGACTGATTATAAATCTTTTTCCGTAAATCAGGATTTGTAAAACAGTGCTTCCGCGCAGCTTGTTCTCCAAACACGTTTATCAGGCAGAGTCATTTCAACTAACTGCTTCTGTTTCTGGAGCAACAGCCTTAAAAGGGGTTGTGTGGAGAGTGTGAGTGTTTGCACTTGGACTGTGAGTGTTTATGGGACGGCAGAAGATCGTGACAATGTGTTTAGACTACAAGCACCATACTGTCCTCTGTTGTGAGCTTCCTTGTCTCTCCGAGGAGAATATTATGAAGGAAATAAAATTCCTGATATGTATATGCAGCATTTTTATTGTTGATTATTTGGTACCCAAAAGTATAATCATTCAAGGCCTTGGCTTATTGTCTTTGTAGTCTTCTAGGCCTTAACTAGGCTTGAAGTTAGAGGTATAGGTAGTTGCTAAAGCTGTTGTTGCAATGGATGGGACAGAAACTCATGTAGGTGAGTTCAAAACTGATACTTTTAATATTTGCTGATTCCATCCATCATTTTCTGTCCACTCTCTACTATTACTATAAATAAAAGTCAATGTAAATGTCATTTGTAGTCCTCACCTATGTATCCCGTCATGCCTTCGTATCTCTGCTCTGCAGGGTCGTGGAAGGTGTTTTTTTTGGGAACGACAAACTCTTGCCCAGATTGCATCACTACAGTGCCGTTCCAATCGAAAGCGCCCACGGCTCCCAGCATCACACCCGCCTTTCAGAAAGATATACATTATATTACATATATTACAATTACACTCTAAAAAATGCTGCGTTAAATATAACCCAGCGCTGGGTTAAAAAGGGACAAGCACACCTGAGCTTCTACTTACAATATGTGAAGTGCTATACTGTATGTGTATGCGTTGATCAATGTTTATATGTGAATAAACGCATAGATTAAATCAACCATGTGTCTTCAGAAGACTTGGATTCATATGGATTACTTTTATGACGTTATGATGAACTCTGAAGTATCAGCGTTTTGGAAGAATGGACTCTTAATGGAGGGACAGAACTTTTTCCGTCCATACGTGTAGTGTTGCTTTCGTCAACGAAAATTATGACTAAATATCGTCGTCAACGAACCTTTATCACGTGACGAAAACGAGACGAGACGCAACGTAAATGCTGGTCATGTGACGATGACTATAAATAACCTTGTTTGAAATGGGTTTGGCTAAAAGAAAAAATAAAATTTTGGTTTCGTCTATACTAGCTACTAAGTACTTATACTATATTGACTGGGTTAAATAGAATTGCATTTCTAAACAGAGGCATTTTATGACTAAGGCCCAGTGTGTTTACAGACTACCCAGCAATGCGTTCAAACATTTGCTAGTGTTACTTCTGTCTCTGTCAAACTGAGAAAGGATGTGACACTCTGACAGACTCATTGTACTTCCTTCTGTGATTCATAATCAAACACTGAAGCTTTTGCACGTTTCCTCTGTAGTTATGCACGACTCACCAGCAGCAGGATGTCAGATGAGGTAAATCAGACAACAGGACGGGGTCAGAATCTGATCTGAATTACAATTCTCAAGAGAGCAGATTGACAGGACACTTACTTTAGATGTGTGAGCACTGAATCCCGACTGAGACATTTCCATCTCAAACGAGGAGGTGTGTTTCTCAGATGTGGCTGTTAGACAAAGGCCATTTTTACATTTTTGACACAGGTTTCATGACATTAAACATTTGAATTATGATTCACTTGTCTGCCGTAAGAAAATATGCCTAACTAGATAGTTATAGTTAAAACTAGTATTTTTGGAAGAAACTGGGAGAGTTTGTTTCTTCATCAGAACAGATTTGGAGAAATGTAGCATTACATCACTTGCTCACCAATGGATGCTCTGCAGTGAATGGGTGCCGTCAGAATGAGAGTCCAAACAGCTGATAAAAACATCACAATAATCCACAAGTAATACACACCACTCCAGTCCATCAATTGATGTCTTGTGAAGTGAAAAGTTGCATGTTTGTAAGAAACAAATCCATCATTAAGATGTTTTAAGTTTGGGTGCTTCTAGTCTAGATTTTTAACTTAATTTTTATCTTCATTTTCAACTTCAGATGCTTTTAGTCAAAATACCAGTTCATAATTCATAATAACGCTTCCTCCAATGAGTTCATCTCCTGTTGTACTCTCACATCAAAATCCACCAACATATTTGTTTAGAACTGATTTGACTGTTTTCACTTGTCACTTTCACTTGTGCTTGATCTGTACATATTTCTCTCCAGATTCAGACGAGACTTGTATTTTAGCCAGAAGAAATTGTTAAAAAGTTAAAAATGTCTTAATGATAGATTTGTTTTGTACAAATGTGCAGCTTCTCAGTTAACTGATGGACTGGAGTGGTGTGGATTACTTGTGGATTATTGTGGTGTTTTTATTGGCTGTTTGGACTCTCATTCTGACGGCACCCATTCACTGCAGAGCATCCATTGGTGAGCAAATGATGTAATGCTACATTTCTCCAAATCTGTTCCCATGAAGAAACAAACTCATCTACATCTTGGACGGCCCGAGTGTGGTAAAATTTTCATTTGGGGGTTAACTATTCCTTTAATGCCAGTCTAGGAGATTTTTTGCCTGATTTATCATCTGCAATGTGAAAATTGTATGTCCAACCGTATGATTAATACTTAACTAAACATACTATATTAGGTACGTTACCCTCTAAGGCAAAGATCTTGCTTCCTAAGGCATCCACGATGGTCACTAATGCTGTTTCATCTGACACATTGAAGAAATGATCGCTTTTGAGCTCGCTAGCAATAAATTCGATTTCATCAATAAACTTCTTTATTTCTTCATTGGTTTTATTTTGTCGATTATAGTCACCAAGGACCTACAAAAGACAAAATTACATGTGCCACGTTAAACATGAACAGCAATCTATATTGTCTACTGAAACCATTGAATCCATGCACCACAGTATTTATTTATCATACATGGATGAATATACTTACAGCAACAGCGAACCGCTCAATCCCATCTCGTTCACACTGATCCGTGACATTTTTCAAATTGTAGTGGTCATGTGACTCGCCATCTGTGACGATCACCATTACTTTTTTGACTCCTGGTCTTGCTCCTCGCGCCACTGTAAAGGCCTCTTTCCTTTAGAAAATAAACAACATCAGGTCAGGATTCTGTACAAAGTTTACAACTTCCTTTGTTTGAATTGACACACTGAAAAAAAAAGACTATTAGGAGATTTTTCTGAAATACAACAGGCTCCGAAAGACTAAGACTGCCGGTGAAAATGCATTTAATTAAAATAATTGAATACAACTCTATTCATTACAAATTAAAATATCAGCATAACAACTTGAATTTTAAAAAATTACATTAATTTCAGAATTTCTTATTTCCCCTTTTGCTTGAAGATCACGTTATCCAGAATACATTTTATCGTAACATTTCTGTTTTAAATTTAAAGCTGATTTTCAAATGTAAAATTACTCTTTGAATCTTATTGTGTGATACCTTGCTGTATCAATGCCAAGAGCTGTCATGGTTTTGTGGCCGGTTCTTTGAGGTATCAAAGCAGCTTCCTCAAGAAGGTCTTTTGTGTTACTGAACTGGCTGAGGTTGAAGACGTGGCCGACATCGTCTCCGTAAGACACGATGCCCACCTGGAGAATCAAAAGCCCAAATAAAAAGTCACGCATAAAGCTCAGGTAGTAAGTTTGGGTGGCCCTCAGACACACCGTTGTCTCTCTCTGCTAAACGTCTCTGTCTGTGCTGACTCAAAAGTGAAGTCAATCTCTCAAAAAAGCCCTGCAAACATTTATTTAACCATGGAATATGTGGTCTTCCCCCAGCTCAACGTTCTGGAGCTGTATTTTCCAGCGGTGTGCTCAAGAAAGCCTTTATTTCCCTAGAATCAAACCACCCAGTAGCTTCTCCATGGAAAGTCTTTATGTAATACTCCTTGTAATGATGTTAATGTAAGCCGATGACAGATCCACTTATGTGCGACTAACTGCACACAACTTTGACAAAACAAATCGCTATGGTTTTTAACAAGTACACAAAACAATTTGAAATCCAACCACTAAAGGGTTATTTCACCCAAAAATGAAAATTCTTTCATTATCAGTATTATTGTAGTATCATTCAGACACTATTAGTTTTTCCAAAATAGTTAAATAGTTATAAAAGTTATTGGGTTGTTTTATATGTCTATATAGTTTTCATTTATTTTTATTTTAGTACATTGAATAAAACTAAGTGAAAATAAGATACTGCTTTGGCAACTAGCTAAAATAAAATAGTTTTGCAACCACTTGAACTAAAGCTAATTTATAAAAAATAAATTAATGTTAAATATAAATATAAAAAAACTAAAAAAAATAACAAATAAAAATAGCAATAAATAATAATAGAATTAATTTTTTTACATTTACATGGAAATTAAAAAGAAAGTTGGAAATATAAAAACAATATATGATTCAAAATATTAATAAATGCTATAATAGTACATATATAATACTTTTCCAAACTTGTATACATTTATTTTGCCCTGCGGAGAGAAAAAATAAGCGTCAGTAATTGTTTTTTTTTGTCCATACATTGAAAATCAGTGGGGTCAAATGTTCAAAACATTCTTCAAAATATCTTTTTTGAGTTTCACATATATAATACTTTTCCAAACTTGTATACATTTATTTTGCTTATTTATTAAAAAATAAGCATCAGTAATTGTTTTTTTTTGTCCATACATTGAAAATCAGTGGGGTCAAATGTTCAAAACATTCTTCAAAATATCTTTTTTGAGTTTCAAAACAGGTAAGTCAGTCATAGATATTTGGAACCACTACAGGGGAAGTAAATGGTGACACAATCTTCATTTCTGAGCCAACTCTTCCTTTTAAAAAGCAGCTTGTGTTAAACATCCAATGATGCAGTAAGTGGATATTTTATTTTAACCTGATGTCATTTCTAAAGTGTTTGAAGACAAACTACATGGTTGCTCTCCAGAGCACTATAATTACACAAATCTCACCCGGGCTGGTCCGATTTCAATGCTCTGGAGAAATTTGACCAGAAACTCGGTGATGGGATTCCACGGGTAGATGCTGTTGGAACCGTCCAACACTATGACAATGTCCATATCCTGCTTGCACTCTGAAACAAGCAAATAAACCTAATGAGCACCTTCTTTACAATTATTCAGCGAGAAAGAGAAATAAATACCACATTGCTTTCCTTTAAATTCCTGAAAGGAAGCTGAACGCCAACAGCCAACTAGTAGGTTTACATGACATAGCTGACTGAAACTGTGCGCACTTATATAAAAATGTATAATAAAAAAGCAGTGGTTAATCACAGCTTATGCTGTTTTGCCAGTCACTTTTTGTATATGGAAGAAAAGAGATGTGACCTTTCATTAGAAACTCAATATAGTTTGTACATCTGTTTATACTGTGGTAAATAAAGGCTTAGACCGCGCATCTGTGGAGACGTGCTGAAATCGCGTTTGGTCTCGTACTGTATCGCGTACCTTGTCAGTGTCGTGCGCTTTGCTTGGCCATTTGTTGTGATAAACAGGAAAGTGTGTCCAGCTGAATTCAATTTGAGTTTTGTTAAACGAATAAAAAAGAAGCTTAGTTTACCGCGGAAGCGGTCGCGGCTGCGGCCGTGTGCAGACCGAAGAGTGTAAAGACCATCGACTCTACTGTGCGACTCCACCGGCCAGGGACACCGGCAAAGGAGAAGTATCGCTTTTTATTTCTCCTCTTTCCTATTACTTGTTTCGCTTCTGTTTCAGTTTTCTATTTTTTTGGTGTTTGGCTTAGTGTTATGTTAGAATCATTATTATACTCATACCTTTTGTTCTTTTAATATTTTGAATTGTTTTTAGCTTTATTTTTTTGTTTTCATTTAAATGTTTAGTTTTGAAATGTTGTATGCATTTGTCATTTTTATTTAATTGATTTTATTTTCTTAAATGTGTGTATATATATATATATAGTGTTTTTAGAGTTTTAGCTTTTAGTTTTAATGACTTTTTCTTATTTGTAAGTCGCTTTGGATAAAAGCGTCTGCTAAATGACTAAAAGTAAAAGTAAAGTAAAAGCATCTGAATGCTAACCATCGCTATTTGCCATTTAGAATCAATCTGAGAATTCAAATTTGCATTTAATGATGCAGAATTCAAATGAAGTGATGCGGCGGACAGTGCTGGTTGTTGCTATGAAACATCATACAGTATGTATGTGTGTGTTTATGATGAGTCACTGGTTCTGTGTTGCGTTGGGAGATGTCAGCTCTCCTAAACACTGTCCTAACATGGACATGCGGCACAGGGGTTTACTCGGCTGGAATGCGCTAATGTACACTCACAACACGTGTGTGTCGTACCTCGTACAGTCGGAGCGATGGAGTTGAGGACTTTGAAGGAGGAGCTGACATTCGAGCAGATCCCAGTGATGTACTGCTGTTTTCCACACATGTAGCCGTACTGAGGACCACAGGCCTGTCCAGAGGGAACGAGAGAGAGGGATTGGAGCACTGAGTAGCTGACATGACATGAAAGTTTATGGTTATCACAGAAAAAAAGCCTAGCATTTTTTTTTTTGGACTTATATTTTCATAATTTGGCTGGACAGCAAAGATTCATACACATGTACACTGCTATAAAAATGAATGAATGAATAAATAAATAAAACTTTAACTGAAATGAAACACATGTACACTGCAAGATTTTCAATGTTTTTTTTTTTAAAGAAGTCTCTCTTATGCTCATCAAGGTTGCATTTCTTCGATCTAAAATACAGTAAAAACAGTAATATTGTGAAATATTATTGCAATTTAAAATAAAGCTTTTCTATTTTAAAAGGGTCATATGATGCGATTTCAAGTTTTCCTTTCTCTTTGGAGTGTTACAAGCTGATTGTGCATAGATAAGATCCCTGAAGTTGCAAAGACTAAAGTCTCAAAACCAAAGAGATATTCTTTATCAAAGTTAAGACTCTGTCACGCCCCCCTAAAACAGCTCGTTCTAACACGCCCCCACATATCTACCTCACTATGTGGAAATATTTGCATAATGCCACCCAAATGTGCACGCAAAGAAAGAAGGCGTGGTTTCAGTAACTGCAGTTAGTGTTGATGCAGCCATGTCAGGGAGACGCTGTGTGTTTCTAGGCGAAAGCAAAAGCACTTTATTTGGCCTTCCGAAAGTAGATGCATTTAGGAATCTTTAAGATTAATGTAATTTATTCCTGTGATCAAAGCTGAATTTTCAGCATCATTACTCCAGTCTTCAGTGTCACGTGATCCATCAGAAATCATTCTAATATGCTGATTTATTATCAATGTTGAATTTTTTTTAAATTGATGAAAACAAAGTTTAAAAAAACAACATTTATTCAAAATGACGATGAAAATTCAGCTTCGCATCACAAGAATAAATTACATTTTACAATATATTCAAATATAAACCAGTTATTTTAAATTGTAATAAAATTTCAAAATATCACTGTTTTTACAGTACTTTTCATCAAATAAATGCAGCCTTGGTGAGCGTAAGAGACTTCTTTCAAAAACATTCGAAAATTATACTGAACCCGAACTTTTGAATGATAGTATATACACATATATCCAGTCTTGTGGAATGACTATTCCATTTTTAATGTAATTGTTGAGAGTCGAGACCTCCCACAATTAATTATTTCTTTTGTAATGTTTATGTGGAACTATTTCCGTTTCAGTCCTTTGCAGCATATGGGAGCTGGAGCTGCATATGGGAACAGTTGGAAACACTGTGTCAAAAAGCTTAATAGTACATGGGAATGTTTAGGGGTGACGTGCTGAACTCCGTATCGTTTTCATTACCTTCTATTAAACTGGTTACATGGAATATTTGTATATTAAAACATCATTTGTCACACTGCAGGACCAGTCAACTAGCGAACTAGCGAAATGAAAAAAGGTGATAAAAAGTGCTGAAAATGTCCAGTTGTAATTTGCTTGAGTTCTGTGTTGCACACCTTGTCAAACAAAATCCTAAAGCAATTTTTATAATAACTTGGACTCAGTCCTAATGGGATCAACTAAGATCCTACTGGATAAACTGAAATTCCTACTTTTCCATTGCATTTTTCCTTGCTCAGAATGTCAGTTTGTCAATTCGGATTACACTTGATTCATAGAGGATTCCTGTTTGATCCCATTAAGTCCAGCTCCAAATTAAACATTTCTTTAGGATTTTTTGAGTACTGGAAAAGCTGCGTTTTCATGAACTGACAATATGTTCAGTCATAAAGTATAACCAAACGCAGACATAGTGCCAGCATGTCATGGCTGTTCTATAATTATAAACATTAACTGGAAAACCGAGTGTTTCTGTAATGTAATGATTTAAAAAGTCTGTGATCAGACTCTATTAATTAACAGTGGCTGAAGTAACAGAAGACATATAAAGATCTCAGTGCAATCACATCCGCAGATGTTCCCTACCAGAAAGCCACTGCCATCTGGGTTAACCACCAGCGTCGTCCCCATAGTCATGTTTTCCTTCACTTCATTTATGTTCGGAATTGTTGTGTTTTCTGTAAGAAAAATAGACAAATATGCACTCACAGTGAAAATCCTATGAAATGAATATCTAAACAAAAACTCCCCTGCATTTTCCCATAAGCGGATTGAACACTTTTGTTCATACACAGACCCTTGAGATTGTCTTTCTACTTGCCTTTTTAAAAGCAAACGACATTGCTAGAGTCCTTTATGTGGGGTTTTAATGGAGAAAAACACAGTTTTGCAGCTTTTTTGTCCCTTCCTGCTTCACAAACACACAATGCGAAAAAGCCATGGGCATGAAAACTAGTGTGAAAAATAATATTGTTAACCCATACAATCTACATTGTACACTGACATATTTAAAAAGATGACTTATAAAAGGGAAAACACTGAGGGTAGAGATTCATCTGAATTCCTGTTGGAAGTGTCTGATTTTGAGGCAGATCCCTGAAGTAATGAAAGACGACATGCAACATTGAGTTATCTGGTGAAGGATTATGTAATTAGGTGTAGATTAGACATTAAAATGTTTTTTGGATCACTTCCTGTCTAGGCCTCCTCTGAGAGTCAGACATTCAGGCAGAGGTTAACATAAAAACAGATTTAGCGCTACAGGCTAATGAGACTAACAAACAAAACATTACATCATGAACCAATGAACCAACCACTCCAAATATCAACAGATAAATGGGGGTAATGCAAAAAACACAGGCTGATTTCTGTTAATTACTAGCTCAAAAACAAAAACAGTAAGAGCCTCTGTACTAGCTTGTTCTTTTTACTTGCATTGAATCGCTTGAATTGTATATCATTCCTCATTTGTACGAGGCTTCAGATAAAAGTATCTGCTAAACAAATGTAATAAATGTAAATGACCCATGAGTCAAGGTCAAAGTCTCTCTGGCCATTATCAGGTTGAGCTCTCAGGCCACAATCTGCTTTAGCTCCTCTTGTATTCTCACAGTAACACCTCTAGAAAGTGTACACAGATGTTTCTCTGTGCATGTTTTAGACATCCAGGTGCTGTTAAGTGTCAAGACATTAGCATTCACACAAGGCTTCCTAAATTAAATGATCATACTTGCTCCTGAATTAGAAGGATGGGACTTTCCTCTGATGCACTCCCGCATTTGGTGACTGATAATAACTTTGACTAATAAGGACAAAGCAACATATCTAAACTGTAAACATGAGATCTATCTTGCAATGCATTGTAGTTCCTCTTCAGGAACTCGAGCTGCGTCGAAAACGCTAGGGGAACGCCTTCTGCGACCCACGCTCTGAAAAGTGGTCGCCATCTGACTTGGCATTCAATTGTCTGGAGATGCTGGCCGTATTTCAGGCATTGAAACACTTAAGAGGTCACCATGTGTTGGTGCGCACCGACAACACAGCGGTGGTCTCTTACATCAACCAGCAGCTTCCTGGTCATGACGTCATCCGCCGTGATGTCCCGTTCAGCTATTGGACTGATTTCACATGTGATTCAGAGCGTGGGTCGCAGAAGGCGTTCCCCTAGCATTTTCGACGCAGCGTCTCGTTCCCTCGAGGAACTAGGGTTACATACGTAACCTGAGACGTTTTGCTATGTGGCATACAGTACACTACAATTGAAAAGTTTGGGATCAGTAGAATTTTTTTCACAAAAATACAGTAAAAACAGCAATATTGTAAAATATTTTTACAATAACTGTTTTCTATTTTAATACATTTTAAAATGTAATTTATTCCTGTGATCAAAGCTGAGTTTTCAGCATCATAACTCCAGTCTTCAGTGTCAAATGATCCTTCAGAAATCATTCTAATATGCTGAATATTGTAAAATATTTTTACAATAACTGTTTTCTATTTTAATACATTTTAAAATGTAATTTATTCCTGTGATCAAAGCTGAGTTTTCAGCATCATTACCCCAGTCTTCAGCGTCACATGATCCTTCAGAAATCATTCTAATGTGCTGATTTGCTGATCAAGAAACACTTATTATTATCAACGTTGAAAACAGTTGTGCTGCTTAACATTGTTTGTGTAAATTGTGATACTTTTTTCAGGATTCTTTGTTCAATAGTTACAAAAACAGCATTTATTTGAAATGGAATTTTTTTGTAACATAACTGTCACTTTTACTGTAAATTGAATGCATCCTTGCAGAATAAAATGATTGAAAATGGAAACAGACTGTTGATAATGACTAAATTGAAGGTATTTCTTTGTCGAAAAGTTGTAATGATGAATCAGTAATTGTTTTGACTTCAAGACTGAGGAAGCGTGTACCCTTTCCCTTCTCTGGAGGTTTTATTTTGGAAAGATGATTTGAGAACTTCATTCTCAAATCTGGAGGAGTTTGCATGCCAAGTCAAAGTGCCATGTTAGTGCATGTTTATCAGCCGAAATCTGCTAGTACCCTTGAGTCACGCAGCAGTGTTTGGGACAGTCAAAGTAGTACCAACTGAGGAAGTATGTCCATTTCTCGCCAACTGAGGTAATGTCTGTCACCCTTCCTATAACAAGTTTTCTGGTATAACCACACCCACAGAGTAAAAACACACAGTAAATACAGACGAATGATTCACAGCAATGAACAAAAATAGCTTGTGGAAAACATGATGGCACTAACCGAACACACAAATGCTTTCAGGAAGGCCACCTCTCACCTGGCAAAAGGAATTTTTCACATCCAGTGTTTTTGTTTTGTCCAACAGGGCACCTGTAGACATCTCCGGTCCGTTTAGCCGGCTGTCCAGTCAGAGGAGAACCAATCAGAACCCTGCAGAAAAAAGCAGGAAGTAGAGAGTGGGCTCATTTATCCCTGACCGCAAAAAACCCCTTGGGCTTTGTGAGAAAGTGGAAGCACGCTGAGCCAAAGTGCAGTTGATTGATTCGCCAGTTTTCCAGTGGGAAAGAAAAGCATAACATAAATATGCACATGCTTATTTTTAAATATTACAGTAAAATGGAACATATGTGAAATGTCAGAACGACGAGGAGAAAAGAGTTTCTTTTTTCGGAACAATAACTGTTAGAGAGTTTGAATACGATGTTGACGGATATGTGATGTTTTACCCTTGAAGCCCACTATGATTTATGCGCTTTACAGTGAGATAACATGAAAGGTTGTTTATGTTTCATTATGTTCTGTGTTACATCTGAGTGCACTTAGCTGAATAAAGAACATTCGCCGTGTTCCTCAGGTTTCTAATGGCGGTTTTTGACAACAGTGCTAAAAGTAGGCATCCTTGTGTAAGCATATAAACAACTCAAGTCATTAACATTCCTGTGCACAAATGGGCCTTGACAGAGCAGTGGATACAAGCGGGAGTCCATGCAGTCTTCCCTTCTTTGAACAACAGTCACCTTCTATATATTTTAGCCTTGACTGACTGATAATTCACAAACAATACAAACATTTTAATAAACTTCATGTCATTTCAAACCTTGTTTGCGTCTGTGGAACACAAAATGAGAAATACTGCATAATGTCCTGGCTGCTCTTTTCCATATAATGAAAGTGAATGGGGATGGAGGTTGTTAAGTACAAATAATACCAAAATGGCACCAAAAAGCAGCATGAACTTTATCCACATAAGTCTTCGGAAGTCAAATGAGAACTTTGTGTGAGAAACAAGCTGTAATCTAACCCTTGCACATTCTCCTCCACCGTAACTTTAAAATCTCATTTGTGGTCATATACATTGAAATATGATGCATAAAGTCACATCAATAAATGCAGCTACAAGACATTCGAGAAACATTGGGCACTTTACACAAAGTCACCGATGTCTTAAACCACTTCTAGGATAATTTTATGATGCTTTATGTCATTTTTGATTCTCAACACCTTCCGCCTCCATTCACATTCATTGTATGGAAAAGAGCAGTAACAATATTCTGCAAAATATATTTTTTGGACAAAAAAAGGGGAAGAAATCCAATCACTGAGGTTTGAGGTGACATGAGAAATCAATTTCCTCTAATTTTTAGTTAATGAAAACCTTTTGAATAAAAGATACTTAAAATCTAAAGCCATCTTAAACACAATATACATAAAATAACACTGACTTATTGTAGAAATGTGATTAAAAAGGCTTTCTTTGGTTCTTCAGAAAGTACTGTATGAATGTTTTTTTAAAAGCTTTTCATTAAACAATTTTTGCTGCTTCGCTGTTACTGTGATCCTCAAAAAACCCTAATGTACTCTTTAAAATCCATCCCGATCACGTCTGTCAAATAATTTAACTACCCTGAACAGGTCATTGGCAAGGTTTACAAGTCAGTCAAGGCCACCTGTGAGAGGCTTTGGGGGTTTCACACCAGCTGAGGTGTTTCTCTGGAAGTACTGTAGAGGGTTAACCATTACAAGTGGTGCTAAAACGTGCTGCTGGACCCATTTTTAAGAGACTACAGATGTCTGACAGGGGAACTGTTTCATACAGTAGGGAAATCATTCCCATTTATTTATATTCGTAATGGAGTTAGCAGGCCTTAGTACATTAGCTTGATAACTTTATTGGGGGAAAAAAACGAGCCATTACAAAAGCAGACTACATCAGTGGTGCTCATAGGTTTATAATGACAATTCTTCAATATAAAATTAGTATATTGTTTATTATGTAGTAAATTAGTGCATCAAAACCGCTTGCTATAGTGTCATGACACTCAACCATGTGAATTGTTTTGGTTGTACAGAATGGTAAATAGAGGCAAAAAAGCAATGGCCAATCAGAATTCAGTATGCAAATATTACAATGACATTATCAATGTCGGTTCGATTTCGCATGGCGAACATTCCAATCACATACATCAAGTGGAGATTTTTAAACTTTCAAATCTAAATGTTCTAATAATATACAGTAAATACTAAAATAAATAGCACACCTATGGCCAGTTTTACTAACAGCTTGCGCCAGCGCAAACCGTCTTTTGGCGTTAAAATTGTACTGTCAGGTTTTACTAAAGACGAGCAGTGAAGAATTAGCGCTGAAAAGGTGTTGACAGTTATTTTTGCACCTGACCTTATTGAATATGCATTTGTAGGAGTTTCCCTTTCAGACACAAAATTTATGGGAGGAGAGTATTCAAATGAAACACACAACGTGTTTTACTAAGGTTTGCGCTCGTCAAATATTGGTAATAGCTAATTATTTTATTCCCAAAACAGCACGTCTTAAACTATTTTGTGCTTGAAATGGCTGCATTTGATGTTGCTAGGAGGAGGCACCACAGAGAACAGAGAGTGCATGGTAGAAGGGAGAGGATTTTTTCCACACGTATGAAAGGGGTCATATGATGCGATTTCAAGTTTTCCTTTCTCTTTGGAGTGTTACAAGCTGATTGTGAATAGTTAAGATCCCTGAAGTTGCAAAGACTAAAGTCTCAAAACCAAAGAGATATTCTTTATTAAAGTTAAGACTCTGCCACGCCCCCCTAAAACGGCTCGTTCTAACACGCCCCCACATATCTACCTCACTATGTGGA